TCAGGACGTCTAGGCTGGAGTTAGGAGTCCAGTGATAGGGAAGCGCCTTCCTGCCAATGCTCCATAGCACCTGACAGCTTGGCAGTCTAAGGTGGCTTTCCACTGCACGTTCAGGAGGTCTAGGCTGGAGTTTGGAGTCCAGTGATAGGGAAGCGCCTTCCTGCCAATGCCCCATAGCACCTGACGGCTTGGCAGTCCAAGGTGGCTTTCCACTGCACGTGGCTCCTTCTGGAGCCAGCGAGGTGCCCACAGAAGCTGGCACCGCACTGGAGCTGGAGACCATGCCGAGTGGGTCCAGGTGGTCACGGGAGCAGCGGGTACTTCTGCCCTGGCCTTCCCCATTGGGGGCACTGCCCGTGCTCTGGCGACGCTGCGGCGCGCTCTTGCCTGAGCACTCTCCGACCACGGATCTTCTGCCAAGAGCGACTCAGAACCACAGAGCTCTTCGCAATGGCGGGTCGCTGAGGATCTTGCCACAAAGTCTTTCTCACACAATCAACACATTGGTCATTAGTGTGCTAAGAGTGGCGAAGGGGCTCTTCTTGGAGGTGCACAATAAAAGAACAAGAAATAACAGGCCCAAAGCACAGCAGAGGAAACTAGAACTAAATGTAAGGAAGGAGATCTTCAACATGAAGAGTGGTTCAGTTCTGGAAAAAGCCATCCGAAGAGGCTCTGGAATCTCCATCCTTGTAGATTTTCCACTGTCCCGACCAACTTCATTTAAAATTGGTGTTGGAGTAGAGCAGGATGCTGGACTATGTGACCCCCTAAACCTTCTATTAAACAAATTCCATATAATTCTGTGATCTTGGCAAAATATCCAAATACGGAAACCACTTGGACTGTGATGATGCACAAGCTGTGCTGGTTGTGCTGCTAGCAGTATCAATGCACCACAGCTCTCACCGGTACCTCCAGACATAACGTTGCTTTGGATTCCCAGTTATTTTGCTTATCTCAAGCAGATTCTGTGAGGAGACCCAGTTACTCCCCTGGCCTTACAGAGCTCATTATTAGGTCCGCATCCCACAAGCTTCCCTGAGCACCACTGGCAGATATCTTCACCAAGCTGAAATGATGTTTATTTTCATACCAGCCCACGGATTTATTTTTGATTGCACCTTCTCCACACAGGTTCCCTGCCTACACATTGAATTCAAGTACAAAGTGGCAGGACCTCTGGCAGTCAGGAATGTGGGAAGCCCTGTGGAGACACCTGTAGTAGTGAGCATAAGCCTGGCCACAGCATGGTTCATGGGGTCACCTTCAATGCATCAAGACTGTGGTAAAGGGACACATGCCAAGTTTAGTCCCTCTTCTCTTTCAAGGCTGGCCTGGACCTTTTTATATCTTTTCCTCTCACGCTTCCACCTATAACATCAGCAAAAGTTTGAGACAAGAAGGGTAAGCAGTTTGGGGAAGGCACTGCAGATCAGTGCCCACCAGCTCTTCATGCTGTTATCCATAGTCTGAAGCCTCAACAGGTGAAATACAAGGTAGAACCTGCCTATGGCTAAGCACACAATCGGTCTAAACTAGACTTTTCTTTAAACTGCCTCAACCTTATCTTTTTCTAACAAATTGGAGCACAAAGGCACCAGTCCTTTGGCTTTGTCCCTATCCTAGTGGAAGTTGCCCTAAATCCTACTCTGTCATCTAGCTTACAAATCACACTAAACAAAACCTCACTTTCTCATGTTCCTGTCTTGGAACTAGTCATTAATCCAGGGGATGTGGTTGTGTAGGTGCTATTTTATTCTGGTAGTCGAACCTCATCAAGCTGTTTGGACTGCTGCTCATGTGGCTGTGCAGACACAACAGGAAGATTTAGATACCTGGAAAGGCAGCAGCTGCCCAGGATCAGGCTGAGCTGGGATTTTGGCTGTTGAAGAGTGTGTGAAACATATGACAAGAGGCTGTAGGAGGTCTGCAACAGGTAGCTGATGTATTCCAGATGTCTACTCAATATTAAGTGAGAAAGGAAGGCAAAAAGTCAGAGGATAAACTAACAACACGATGTCAGTGCCTAGAGCTGACTTAAGCAGAATGGAACTATCCCTAAGCCCATGGTCACTTCGGAAGAGTCCGATGACCAATTCAAATGGAAGACCTGAGGAGACAAACTGCTCAGGGAGAAACTACAGAGAGAATGGAGCAACAGCTAAGCTGTAAGTTAAGCAAGTTACCTTACATTATCTTCACCCAAGTATTTCAAATCTGAAGTGCTAAGTAACATTTCCTCCACTATCCTGTTTTCCTCTCTGTTTCGCCAAATTTCAGAAGTAACCACAAAATTCATTTTTAAATTAAGTTTTAATTAATGGTTGAGACAAATACTTTTCTCAGAGCGCTTTCAACATGCTTTCCATATGCTCAGTTGAACCAACACCTCTGCAACTCGACACATTTCTTTACTCTTCTGAATTAACAGGTCCAAGTTGATCCTTTTATTTGTAAGGGTCATTTATTAAATTCAATTAAGATAACAAATATAGGCTTCCCATATCTGTAAACTTGTCTCCTGGCTGTAACTTAGCTTCACATTTGTTAAGAGTTTAACACAAAGTAAGGCATACAAAGGGTTTCTAGCAACATCTTGTTGCACCCGAGATATCATCATGTCTGTTACCTGGTAAGGCATTTTTCCCCATTTCAGGTAGTCATAAAAGCAAATTTTAGTTAACAAAGTCTCTGAAAATCAGAATTTGCTTTGATTCTGTTATCTTTTTGCATAGAGGCAATGAGAACTTTTAAAATTTACCACAGATACATCTTTTTATATGAAGTATTTGCATTCAGTCTTCTCCAACACATATGTGTGTACGGCACACACAAATATTTAACTTCTATCTTCATGACAGTAGAAGCAAATTTAATCTCACCTTTTATTAGAAAGGTCTGAGAAAATGGACACAGAACCTGCTCAATTTGTCCTTCCCTAACCTCTATCAGATATGAACAAACTATCTCAGGTGGTTTAAATCAGAACAGTGGTGAGGAACAGCTCCTGGGTGTTCCCCCACTGCTCCTCAGGCGGCTCTGTGTGAAGTCACTCGAAGCCCAGCGCAGTGTTTCCACACCTTCCTGTGCCCCTCGCATGGATAATCTGCTCTGATACAATCTGAGCCACTGCTTACTTCTACATATACAAAGAATTTGTTCAAAAGAAGAAAGAAATAGAGGAATCGAGGTGTGGAAAACCTGTTAACTGTGCTCATAGGCAAAAGATGATTAGCAGCTTTCTGTAACACATGGGCCCTGACTTGGTGCTCCATAACCTCATTTCAGTCCTCGAGGGGCACAAAGCAGCAGCCCCATCCCATTCTAATGCTGCTGAATGCAGACTGATGCTCATTTTCAAGGAATTTTCCTCATGAAATAAAGTTGAAATTCAACTTTATTCCCACATTTCAGAGAAAGTGGTTTTATTAAGCAGAATTTTCAGTTACGACAGACATGAATCTGAATCCAGGAGAAAGGTGAGTACTTGCATTCATTTTTTTTTCTTTTAAACACAAACTGTGAACGGCTACTACAGATGTCACATGAGAAGCCAAGTCACTCAAATCCTCTTCACTATGAATGAGGTTTGAGATTGGGAAAAGAAGGTTCAGCTCACTTGCAGAATGCTGAGAACAGGAAGAAAATCAAAAGCAATGTCCAAGGCATATGCAAACTGAAAAAATAAGGGCTGGGGAGTCTCTATTTTTTTTCTTCCCTCAAAGACTATACTACAATATGAAGATAAAAGCTAAATGAAAAACAAATCTTTATACAGTACTTTCTCTTAATTAAGTCCCATGGTTTTGTTTTTTTGTTAAAAGAAAATAATGTCTTTTAATTTAATACTTATTTCAGGATTCTCAGACCAGGGTGTGGTACTGGTAGCACTTCACTTAATTGGAATTATCCTTTTAAAAAGCAATCTTAAAAGCAGCTCTGAACTTTGCTTCTGAGATGGAAGCACTGTCTCTGAACCAACAATGGTTCCTGTCACTCTTGCTTTGTATCTTTCAAGGCCTGAAGTCTCTCTAAAAGGGGTGGATGGGAGTAATGCCACATTGAAAAGATCCAGTCAGAAACGGGGAATCCTAAATTATCTTTGTTTAGTTTGATCAAAGCAGAATATAGGTCTTTAGCCTTCCCAAGTTCCTTGGCAAATGCATCTGCTTGAAACTCAAATCGCCGGCTTAGCACAGTCAAGCAAAACGAGAGAACCTGGGGAGAGAAAGATATTCAAAATTATTTAAATATTCAGCCACCCGTTGAGTTCCTTATAGCATCACTAAATAAGCATTATAATGTCTTCCTTCCCCCATCCCGTGCCTTTAGAATGCTTTCAGTAATATTTATCCAGGTCAAACCTGAAACTGAGCATCTTACCTGAGGTTGAACACTAAAACCCTAATTATTACATTAGGATGTACTAGGTACAGTCCCTAGAAATTTCAAACTCTTCTCCAAAGTAATAACATAGCCATAAAATCATTATGATTAGGGTGTTATTTCGACATCTAAAGCTGAAAGACCAGTTGCACATGTTATAGTTTACCTCATTGTAAGGTGAAAAAATGAACTGGAAAATAATCATCAAGCCTATCAGGGTGGGCTGGGTCTCATAGAAACCAAACGCAGCAAAGAGCTCTTTCCGTCCAATCAATACGGCAAACAGGAAGAAGCAGAGGAAGGAATTCATCTAGAGAAAGGAAACAATATTCCTGGTCAACATGAACTTTTCACATAAATCTAATATTATAGCCTAAATGTTCAAATTACAGATTGGCACAGAAAGGCCACTGAAAAAGAGAGATTGCTAAAATTAATTTAGAGAAAGGAATAAGCAGCCACTTTTAACCTTCCTTCTGTATATGCACGCAATAGTTTTCATTTTCAGTGAGGAGAAGAAATGTTTATGTAGGGAAGGGAGATGAAATGGCAAGAAGAGATGAAAGGTGAGGAAGGAATAGAGGGGGGAATCTATCTCCTTGGAAGTAAATATGTTCTAAAAAGCTTAAAAGCAAACCAGATGCGTCAGAAGTCTTTCTCTGAAGCATTATGCACTGTTTGCTGTGCTGTACTTCTGTTTCTGTAAGCAATCTACCCTTCTATCTAAACCATGCAACACCATGTACAAGTGCTTCCCTTAGCTGGATTTTCAGATGTAAGAGGCAGGATCACATCAAGTTTCTGGAGAAGATGAAAGTATCTTCTCAATCTATTCAGGTGTCTGTTTGGTCTTTGCAGAGTAAGAGACAGAAAACAGGAGAGAGGGAGAGCTATGACAGAAAAGAGCCAACACAAAAAAGCAGAAAGCAGATATGATTGGGGATATTTTTGAAAGTTCTCTTTGTAAAAGTTCCTCCATGCCCCTGATAGTTTTACCTGCCCTATTTTTATTTTCTAACCTTCTCTGACTCCATCAGGTCTTTCTTAGATGTGGAACCAGAACTGCACGCAGCATTTGCTGTACACATGGAGGACACATCTGAGTGTCCCATGCTCTGCTGCAGCCCTTCACAGTGTTCCTTTGCACTCCTTGCACAGCAGGCAAGTGGCAGCATATTTACTCTCCTTGCTGTATTCCAATATGTAACTGCACAAGACTGACAGCACAATCAACAAGAGATACACGGGCAAAACTGGAAGTGGGTATTTTGGAAAGGACAGTAATTACAGAATGCTCTAGGAAAAACACTAGTTCATCACAACTTACCTGGCTGATTATAATGTTTTTGATAGTGTGACCTAGTTTCCAATGACCCAATTCATGGCCAAGTACAGCTAGAACTTCTTCATTTTTACATCCTTGTTTCTTATTCTGAGGGAATAACAAAATTAAACTAATATCAGATATGACTGAACACAACTGATCCAATTTCTTACTTTTTGTTTTCCTTATGTCACTTAAGTCATTAAATGCCTCAAGATCAGGAATTGGCTCTTCCCTTGTACCAGCAGCATAAACACAATTTCACATTGAGCCTTTTGGATGGGTTCGTCTATTATAAATTTAGGTAGACTCAAGAAGTTACTTAAAAAAATAAACTTTGTTCAATGATTTTCTATCATGCGTGGTGATCCTTTATTTCTATCTAGGCAGACAAGCCTGTTCAGACCTGGAACAATGCATTAAGATTTGCTTTCCATACTCTTTCCTGCCATTCATTAATCTAATCTTTTTCTTTCTTTACCCAAGCAAAGCTGTTACAATGTAAGGGGACATTCCCAGCCAAAGACTTTTGATGACTAATCGAGTCCCGTCCTCTCCCTTCCTTCAGTGTTCAATACGGAGCCTGGCCTTGCAAGGCACTGCAGTACAAGTTTACTTCAGTAGAAACAGAATGACCGTAGCAATAACCCCCATGCCTGCAGCAAGGAGATGATGGACTTCTGTATCTTCAAAGGTACAAAAGTCATTAGCAAGTCAGAACTATGTGGGCCTGTGTATTGAGGAGGAAGCTGAAGTACCCACTGGAATGGAGGAAATGCTTTTCATTATTACTGCAGAGAAGCTTTCTGGATTTTTTAGTGTGGGTGAGCTCAAAATACCCTCCTCCTATCACTCACTTGTGCAGCAGGCCACGCCACAAGCCATGGATGAAGAGAATTTTACCACCAACATGCTCGTCCTGAGCAAACAACAATTTATACACTGGCCTAACTAGGCTGCATGAGGCAATTTATTCTTCTCATAATTAATCCTTCAGGTACTTCAGAACGTATTCCACCAATTTTATCCATTCTTATTTGGATAAGATATCAACTGAAGAAATCAATGTTTTCCTAAAACCCCTTAAGTGGATTTCTACAGTCTCCTTAGTTCTATTTGCAGCAATTCACTCATAGCTTCAGAAATTTCATCTATCACCAATTCAGAGATTCTTTGGACCTTTACAATACACACAGAAAACACAAGAAAAAAACCTAAGAAGTTAATGTAAAAAATAAAGTGGAGAACAAATATGAACTCACTTTGGTTTTAGACTTTGTCTCTTCATTCTCACCATCAGCTCCTTCTGATGGCTCTTTGTTCAAAGCAGAATAATCTTCTAAGAGGGTATCAAACAGCACTATCCGCTTATTCTTGAAGAATCCATAGAAATAAGCATTGCTATGAGAAGAACGCTTAGAACCTGATGGGGGAAGATGTACATCAGAGACCACAGTCAGAATAATCCTGTGCACTGAAGCCCATCTATGCAGTCTTACTGGGAACATATTCTTCCAAAGGAATTCTCAAAGACCCCATATGAACGGTAGGCCAACTCCCTGCTTGCAGGCTGCAGGATATTTTAAAATGACTTAAGTAAAGATCATCTCATTTACTACCTCCGATTAGAGATTTTTCATTTGCAAATGCAATGCCAGGTGTTCAGTTCAACTCACAAGAACACACAAGGACAGCCACAGAAAGGTGTACTATCCAAAAAACACTGTTGCAATTTCAGGTTCAGAGGGGAAACAGAAATCTGCAAAGAAATTTGCTTCCCTCCTTGCAAAGAAAGTGATGGGTGCATTTTACAACTCTCTGAACGTATCAACAAAGATTATTTGAATTTCTGAAGGTGTTATGATCAGACACTGATGAGAGAGAAGATGAAGTACAGATCTCATGCAGACGCTTAAAAATGTTGTATTGAAGTTCATAACAGATAAAAAGAGCTAGGGCAAGTAGGCAAATTTTAATAGCTGCTTTCATCTAGACAGTTTTTTTTTTGGGGCCAGCTGAAACTATCCATTTTCCATGGATCAAAAAAGCTGCCTAGATGGCAGGAACTACTGCAGCACCAAGTCTGGAGACTATGAGAGAAGAGATGGAGGAGAAGGTCTCCAAGTTGAAGCAGATGTTATGAGCTGCACCGACTGCTTAGGGCAGCATGCAGGGGGTATTTTCTGCCCTGTGATACAGTCATGGTAACTTTGGCACCACACCAAGACAGATTGATGGAGAAAGAGCATGGTCAGTGTGGGAAGCTTCAGTTTCCAGTCACTTCTCAGTGAGAAAAACTGATCACAGCTACAGCACAGTGAAATCCCCATTCTCCTGTCATAGAAATCTTCCTCCTCTGATAACGATTTGCTTCCAGAAAGGAACCTTTGTAACCCCCCTTGTCAAGAATAAATCATGAGATTAAAGGACTTTTTTGTCCATATTGCTAAGAAGTTATTGTAAGTGACAGAAGTGCAGAGCACAAGCCTTACAGTACTCCATGAGAGAAGTCCATGCTAGGAGACAGCTAGCAATTCTTACATAAAATCTCAACAAGACTCTATAATAACTCTCAAGTTTTGAAAATTTTCAACTTTGCTAGGAAAGAAGAGTTTGTTAGGTCCTACCAGCACTGTAAGATTTTGGCTGCACTGAGGCAGAGCACTGGCTGTATTTCACTAGTCCAGAGTAGCGAAACCAGAAGGATCCATGTTGAAGTCTTCATTGCTGTTAACGTTACATTTTAAGCTCTTTTTTTCCCCCATCTCATACTGCTCTAACCAAGGCAATAAGAACACCTCTGCCTCTTGAGTGGCACAAACAAACAAAACAAAACAAAAAAAGGCCCTGAAATCAGGTACAGAAGGGAACAAAATGAAAGCAGTGGAAATGTCAAAAAGTAGAGTGCTCCAAGGACACAGAGTTGGAGAGAAAGTGAAGTGAAGCTTTCCTATTCCACATTAAGCAAAGCACAAGAAGACCAAAGCTGCACTACTACGTAGTAAAACACTTGTGATCCCAAGCAGAGGGGCTGGGTCCATTGAGGCACACCATGAGAAAGAGTCCACAAGAACACTAAGAAGGAACAGGCCATTTTATCATTCATAACTTTCTAACAGCTTCGTCAAAGAGTTTGAGGCAATTAATGCTGAATAAAGACTCAAAAAGGTTAAGTTTAAAGGTCTAAAATTGGAATCTAGGACAGCTGCTCCCATTTCTGAATGTGCTACGTATTTCTGCTCAACAGAGCAAAAAATGTTTCCGATAAAATGCTGAGTTAAGGTTCTACGTCCTACTTCACCATTCTGACCCCAATGCAAAGACCACAGCAACAAAAACAACACACCCAAAACTTGCAAGTATTACAACAGCTGGAGAATGTAAGACGTAAGCAACTCCTGTGCTGCACCATCCATAATCAAAGCTAAATAAAAATTCAAGAAGTCAAAATTTGAGGTCTTTTTCTTCAAAAAATCTCACCTTCAACCACGTACACCTTAGTCAATGGGAAGTCAATGCTCTTTGCCATTACTTCAATTTCTTGCTTGAGCTCTCCTTCAGGAAGCGGAATAAATTTATCAAACAACGGGGCAATGTAATCTGCATAGATTGTAACAAGCACCTGCAAACACATACAGATATTGAAAACAAGGCATAAAAATATGTGTTCAGTACTGGAACACAGACAAGTACAAAAAGAAGACAGGAATGCTTTCTATATTTACAAAAAAGGGAAAATCTGTCACCATATATCATTTTATTTCCAGTATCTATTTGAAAGCTTTTTTAATGCTCATTTTTTAACTGATAAAGACATTTCACTATTAAATAGATTTAAGATACCATTAATGTGGACAGTTAATACGAGTTGTTATTCCTGAACAAGTACATTGAAACATAAAATAAACTTAGAAGACTGAAGACTCTGAAATTCCAAGGAGATTTAGATTTTTCACTGATTTTCTTTCCATTTTTATTTTTCTCTTTTAAAGCTTAGCATATATTAACCTGCAAGTAAGTTACCATTTAGCAGCAACTCAAATGTATTTTCTTACTCACCAAGGAAACAACTAATGTGAAGAGCCAGGCATAGATGAAGAAGTAATCTCCTCCTATTTTAATAATGTAAAGCAGGAGAGATGTCACTGGTAACAGAATGCACTGAGTCACAACAAACTTCTTGATGGCATCCTTAAAAAAAAATCCCAGCGTCTGCAAGGAAAGGATACTAGTGATATTTACACTGTAAATATTAATGCATCACAACGGTTAATAATTGATCCCTTCACCTGATGCACACAAGCAAAGTCAGTCAAACCAAAAAACAAAGCGGCAATGCTGATATGTGCTACAGAAGAGTTGGTTACAAAAAAGGATGGAAGAGCCTTTTTGCTTCCTGACTGCTGTTATTTTTTACCACCCATGGGATTCCTAGCCCATATAAATGCACTCTTTTCATTACTAAAAAATGACCCAAACCCCTGCATAGTGTTTGACAAATCATTCTTTCTGGACTGAAGGATATAAATCAATTAAGCCTTTAATATCACACATGGGCTTCAGTGCCAAGTCTTCCTTTTCTCATTTGATAAGAAACAGTGCTTGCACTGACAGCAGCCAAGCAGGCAGCCAGGTTTTGGGAACAGCTCCATGAAGATAATATTGAGAGCATATCCCCAGGCTCTTCCTTCCTCAGTAAAGCACTGCCTCTGCAGACACTCAATGGAGTTTTAAAGAAGCCCAAGCTGCTAGTTCAGCAGTTGATGTTCTGGTTTGTCTGCCTAGAGGTAGGGCTTGATCACAACTCTGAGCTCACTCTGCACCTTAAAGTGTTCATGGACATTCAAGTCAAGTTCTCTCCAGCCATAAAGGAAATGTTAAATGACAACATAACCTAAGTCTTACTAGAATCTAAATAGGACTGGCAGGCTATGCAGATGGATATACTAAAAGATAAAGTAAAAATGTAGTAAGTTTCTAAAACTGAAGTGCTAGGAGTGAGAGTTCAAAGGAGAACACACTGGTATTTAGCATTGCAGCAGACAGCTGTAGACTGAGCAGCTGGTTCCTCCTCCAAGAGGAAAATCTGCTCTCAAGGAAAACTGATACTGGTAATAAACAAATTGAACTAAGTAGGTGAGAGAAATTAAGAAAGCCAGGCCAGATGTTACAAAATAAAGAGAGCATCTAAAGGAAGTGCATATGAAGACATCAATATTCTAGTTTAGTGAAGGCTGATTCCAGAATTCAGCTCAATGAGTGAAACAAAATGAGGAAGAAAATCATTTCTCAGTTTTGTTCCATCTATTCAAAATCTAGAAGTCATAAGCACCCCTGCCAAGCAGTAATTTAGCTGTCACTATATTGTATATCTCTGCATGAACATTTATCCTGGCTTATCTGAAGATGTATATAAAGGGAAAAGAAGAGCCCATCCCAAAATGAACAGCTGAGGTATGAAGTGTCCTCAGCTCCAGTGTGAGGACACACATCCTTGTTGTTAAAGAAGCTGCTTAAGAGACATGAGCTCAGGGACATTCTGATGAGTTACAGGATTTTTGCAACAATCGCAGAAGAGCTGCTCAAGGGCATCAAGACACCACAAGTTTGTCAGATGGAAGAGAAAGCAAGCAGCAATGGCAGCCCAATCTACTGGTCCTTGTGTGCAACAGAGGGAAAAAAAGAAAAAAAACTGCATCAAAATCCAAGTTTTTAGAATATCATTGCTCTTATTTTTATGTAGGCTGAATTAAAACATTCCTAAAAATAATGATTTCTCGTAGAACTAGGGACACACCAGTCCATCTGCCAAAATACTGAAGATGTTAGGTCAGTACATGTATTATCCACTATACCTGTTGATTGAAGCCATGCTTCTCTTCTATGACAAATGTGTTATATAGACTCCAAGGGAGACCAGTCAGTGCACTGAAGAGCGTTGCAAGAAGCAGGAATACCAACGACTGAACAATCTAAGCACAGAAAAGAAAATCTTATTGATCTGCTCCGGTGTTCATATTCCTGTTGTCAAAATTCACTTTATATCACTGGTTTTGTTGAAGCTAGTTAGAAGCTAAAGCTAAGTAAATTCACCAAAATAACAATACACTTGTAATGATTATTGTTTACTGAACCGACCTACCTATGTTTATAAAACCTCCATCATTTGGAGACTTTCTTAATATATTTTAAGTTCAGCCACAGCGTGCCATCTTCATAAAGGAGTTATTGCTCAAAACCTTTGAAATCATCAAACCAAACTGTAAAAATTTCTGTCCTCAGCATACATTAACCATATAGAGAATATGTTCACCTGTATTGTCTTGTTCAATATTTCTTATCGTTAGAAGACAAAATAAAGATCATCTAGTTTTATGTTTCTTATGGTGTAACTAGAGATCAGACTACTTAAATAAGTCTCTAAATAAAAAGAGACAGGTCATTAATGTACCCATGACTTTCACATAAAATAGAGGTTTGACTGTCCAAAAAACAATAGCTTTAAATCCAACAAGCCGCATATCCACACTTTTTGCAGGAGTGGAGAAATAGAAATTTATGATAACAAAACAAGGTCAAATTCTCCTTCACGAAGAACTCTCTCAGTTCAATTAAATTCTATACTGCTCTTCTTGAAAATAAGCTTGTTGAATAGAATAAAACCTAGAAGAGTAGCCTGTGCCTGATGCTGCTATACTCAGTCTTTATTAATCAGCCTAGAGATTCACGTATCTTCCGTACCCAGAAGTGGGCAGCAGGATATTTCATGAAGCCCCACAGGCTCAAGGGCTAAGTTTGTACATGAATTACCAATAGTCAAATAAGAACTTCAACTATTTGAAGAATTTTGTCCTGATAGCCATGCATCTATCAATATGAAGCTACACAGAGGAGGGCAAGCTCATTTTCTTGTGAGAAGACAAATATCTGCAGCAAAGAGAGAAAATTTCAAAGTGAACTTTTCATTTATTAAGGTTTAGATTTTCTCGAGCCATTAAATCTTCATGGAAATAAGAGTGCTTCAGGAACAGAATTGTTTCCTCATTTTTCCTTCTTTTGCATCAGGAATAGAGATTTCATTTCCTCAGGATATTGACTGTGAAAGGAAGCTTTGTATAAAACTGGGGGGAAAAATATCCAGTCACTGAAAATAACTATGCAGACTCCAACTTCACAGGGCCAATTCTCTCATTCTTTTTGGAAAGCGCTGGCAGGAGCGGTCAATATCTCTGCACAACATTAGGTAAATCTCAGTGTCTGGCCCAGTTTGCCTACTGTTATGTTCCAACTTATTTATTTTTTTAAGGCAGAAGAATTCACCTGAGTTCTGCCTTTTTTAAAGGTAGAAGAATTAGCACCAAAAGTGGGTAGCATCATCTAGAGGGATATGGTTTCCTTACACATCTAAAATACATAGTTGAAGTATTTTTTAAGGTTTGTGAAGATTTGCACCACTGTAAAAGTAGCAGAATTCATCCACAGCAAAGACAATATAGCAATAGCCTCAATTTTCTTACTGTTTTTCTACCTAGGAAGATCACATCTAGAATTTATAAGTTTTAAGAACAAACAAAAACACAGAACCCCCACCCACCCATCAACTCATTTGACTTTAGCCAAATAACTTTGAGACAAAAGTACAAGGTGGTATTTCATGAGTGACCATATCTATCCTCAGACACCCAATCTTTGAGCTCACAGGAAAATATCTGTTATTTTTACCATATTGTACCTGTTGATAAAGCCTACTTTAAGTAAACAGAAGCTTAAAAATAAAAATTGTAACAGTATAGTTCAGTAATAATGGAACTGTCTCCTTCCTGAAAGGTCACATACCTCATATTCTGGCCCAAACCCAGCACGACCAGAGATTTGACCTGAGAGATTCCAGAGAAAAGGAATTCCTCCACAGAGCAGAATCATCTTAAAGAGAAAACATACACCACAGAGACAACGTGAAGCAGATCTGGCAGCTCATCCAATGTGAAAGTATCTCCTAAGGGCGATTTAGGAAGGTTGTATAACCAGGCGTTTTAGCCACATCCCTCTCACCTCTCCTAGTCCTTAGCAGTAAACAAAGAAAACCAGGAATGTTTTGCAATATTTCCTTTTTCCTTTACAGAGATAGAGAGCAGGTCAGGGCTGTTGTCGTTCCTCTCTGCTTCCTTGGAGAACACGAGCAGATCTCCAAACTTATTTACTGTAGATTCAGCTGCTATTGCTTCTGACAAGGCATTTTATTCGGAAGATCTCAAAACTGATCTGCTCTACACTTGCAATATCCCACCTTTACTGGGGATATTCCAGATTCAGCAACTTGACTGCATTAGAACAGCTTCCCAAATATTTGCTAGTGAGACACAGACATTCAGAATATGGCCAGAGTTTCTCTATCAGTGCAGCTTTAACCATGTTAAGGAAGCTACAAGTTCTCCCATGTGTTAACTATACATTAGTGCACGGAGAAATAATGTTTATAAAGCAGCCTGGCTTTCAAATATTTCACATTTACTTTCTTAGCAAGTAATGCATCATTTAATGCATCAGTCTTACGGTATGGACAATACTATTGTAAAAGTTTTTTGAAAACGCTTATGTGACTGAAGTGCAAAAATGACTGAGGTGAAAAGAAAGGGAAAAAAAACAAACAAACAAACAAACAACCCAAAAAACAAACCGTAAGTACCATGAGGCAGATACAGCTGTGAACTAGCCTGACACATGCCTAATTACATGTTTAACTACTCATTAAATGAAATGCAGAATACCAGTTAGGTTGCACAAAAGCCACTAGATCAAAAAATGCAAGAATTAAAGTAGGTTATGGTTTCTAAGTAATGCTTTTTTCATATAATTATATGACTTACACTATTATAGAGTAGTATTTCGTATCTTTTTAATTAACCTTTGTAAAAAGGTTAATGTCTTAAGTATATCACTATAATAACATATTGAACTCAGTAATTATATTTTTTGCAATGCCAGGCATTTCAGGATTCTTTTTTCACTCAGTTGTGCTACTCATGAAGAATATATTTCAGCAGTAAGTCAGAAAAATGTTTCCCTTAAAACTACTCGTATACAGCCCAATAAACACTTTGTTCTAAGTTAAGGCTGTTTTTCACATATAGAAACTTTACCACGGAGTGTGACTGTTCTTAGATCCAAGAAACATCTCTTGGGACTTCTCCTGCTCTAAGAGGTTTTCCTTTCTAACGTCTAGTTAAATATCACCTGAAAATGAAAGAAGTTGCATCTCTTCAAATACTAAAAAAGGTCACTTAATTCTAACGCTGCTTAATTCTTTGGGAGGGAAAACCATAAAAGGTCAGGTGTGCTAATAATTCATAAAAATACAATATACATTGTCAAGTAGCACAGTGCTACTTGACAGAGCATTCAGAAATTATACTTTATTTCAGTAGGCACCTTCTGCCCTTTACTTCCATTTTACTGTTCATTTTTGGAGTACTAGACACAGTCCCACATTAGTATATGTAGTAAAACAAAATATTTATAAAGAAGAATTTGCAGAATATGCCAGCCTACTTAAGAAACAACTTATAAATGCTTCCATACATATTACAGAGTTTCCTTACAACCACAGAGTGGTTGAAGTTGGAGGGGACCATCAGATACCTTTGTTGAAGCTCATGAGGTTACATATGGTTATAACACACCTTGACTTTCTACTTCGGCCAGCTGTAAGAGTCATATTTTCATATATCTTGTTTCTTTGTGACATTTTAAAATAAGACTGGCAATTGTGAATGTATTCATGCAGCCTGAGAACAGAGCAGAAAAGCAACAAATCCAGAAAGTAAATGCTCCAAATCTTTCATTTGGGCACGAGTATGCTGTCTGAATAAAATCTTTTTATATGGCAAATATGAGGACAGACAAGAAACACTCAAACCTAAGCCTAGCAAATTACAACGGTTGATGTGTTGTACTGCAGTGCTGGCAGTGCGGCTGCATGGAATCCCCAAAAATCAAAAACCTGAGTATTTCACAGCTGAACTGTATGAAAAACACAGTATGAACGCCAAGGCAGCTCAGATACTTACAGTGCCCTCAACTTCTGAGTACAGTCCTGACCAAAAGCTGAAAGTACTCTTGTCCAGCTGATACAGACGGGATTTTTCAAACGTTTCGGGATCCATGATCTGTCCTAACTCCCATGGTACGTGTGTCGTTGTTCTGTAAACGCGCCTCTGAAAAACAGGAAAAGAAACTTCAAGTCTACACCCAACATTTTTAAGGAGAGAAATGAGATGAGCAGGTAACACATAACACGGACGCCTGGGTCACCACAGCAGGTTAGAAAAGTAATACACCAAAAAATGTTCCTAAATTCTTGGCTTCTTCTGTGAAACTGCAAATATAAAACTGAAACAAGATTACGGTACAACCAGGAAACAAGTTGCTTACTAATTTCTTTCTAATACAAGGAGACCTCTTGGTCCAGCTCATGGAGCACCAACACTGCCATGTCCCTCTGAAAGTATTATGTAAAGATCAGATGAATTATTATGCTTATCCTACAGGACGCAGCATGCTGCCACGATTATGACTAAGCTGAGTCCCACAGTAGACACCAGATTCTCCCTTGTTAACCATGAAGCTTCACAGTTAAAATTTATCCATATTTTAGCCACATAAGTTTCAGATGGAAAACTTCTCACCATGTTCTCCTTTTAAAAGTCTAAGATTATCCCATCCACTACCGCTGTCCTTCTCCTTCTCCTAAAGGCCCTGCCCTGTCACCTCAAAGCTCATCCCTCCCTTTGCAGGGATGGAGCGTCCATCCCCCGTGCTGATGCAGATTCACCGGTACCGAGCACGGCGCAGGGACCCGTTTCTACAGAGGGGGCCTCTCCCCGCGGCCCCCGGCGCCCATCGCGCCCGAGGGGGGACACGACGCCCCAGGCCCGCGCTCCGCCCGCG